GAGTATATGGGCTCCACTAGGCAGGGGGACTATGGGAGGGTGCCACTTGGGATGTGGGTATACAGATGAATAAGATTTTTTAGGATGTTCTATATGAAATACACACAAAAAAATCAATAAATAAAAAATGAGTTATATTTGAAGAAGCATAAAAATTTGCTTCATGTTAATTAGTAAATGTGAAAAATATTATCATTGAAATCTACCTGATGACTTTATATCTATGCTCAGATGCCAAGGAGCTCAGAAAGTAATTGACTGTGACTAATAATAATCAGATATATAGAGATTAGAAACGCATGTGCATCTTAGTGTCAATTGTATTAAAAATGATTTTTTCTGTATAAAAAAAGATATTTCTTAATCATTTGTATTTTTCCTGTTGAGAACTCTCTGTTTACTTCAGTTCCATAGCCATCTTTTGATTAGATTGTTTTCTTGGTGTTTGGTTTTTCTTTGGCTTTTTGTTGTTGTTTTAGTTCTCTGTATATTCTAGATACTAATTCTCTGTTATATGTATAGCTGGCAAAATTTTTCCCATTCTATATACTCCCTTTTAAATAAATTCACAATATTCTTTTCAGGACAGAAGCTTTTTAAATTTACAAAATCCCACTTGTTGATTATTGGACATATTTCCTGGGTGACTGAAGTGCTGTTCAGAAACTCCTTACCTGTGTCTATATCCTGAAGTGTACTTTCTACTGTTTCTTCTAGAAGATTCAGGTCTAGAATGAGATTTTTGATCTGTTTGGAATTGATTTGTGTACAGGATGAGAGAGAAGGATCAAGTTTAATTCTTATATATCCAGTTTTCCCAATACCATTTGCTAAAGATGCTGTCATTTCTCCAATGTATGTTTTGGCATCTTTAAAAAAAATAAGGTGGCCCTCTCAACCCCTACCTCCCCCACTCGCGGTGCCAAGTCTAGGATCAGCAGTGACCTCCCGACCTCAGGGCCCATGTGATGGGAAGAGGCACAGATGGCACTGTGAGTTGCTTGATGAAGTTTGGTTGAAGGACAGGAGAGTACAGAAGGTTTCCAGACAAAGAGAATCTTAAAGCGCCAGGAATACTACAGGATAGATCCAATGATGATGATCAGGAGTAGCCTACCCTGGAGAAGGCACCTAAAATGACTGTGGCGGACCACCAGGAAGAAGTGGTCATGGACCCCGAGGATATTAAGTGACATTGAAATAAAGGTTCATGAACAAGGACCCTCATATCAGGTGTACCCTAGTGGACATCATCATAAAAAAGCTGACCTAGAAGCAGACAGAGGTAGAGACAGATGTCCAGCTTCCCTGTGCCCCAGCTGGATCCTGGAGGGGTCCAGAAGGTGTTATTTAAGTACTGCAGCAGGAAACTTCCCAAGGCTTTTAAGATCATCTCTGTACTCTCCAACTGGGAGCAAATCCTCTATGTCACAGAGTCTGAGGCCTGAACTGTAGCTGCTATGTATCAAGCCACCAGGATTTTCTGCCTCTAACCTGCAAGACTACATCGCGCAGAACTTTTATAACCTTTTCCTGCTCCCTGGGCATGAGATGACATTGCTGAAATAAAATATAAACAAAATATAAACAACTCAACTTTCACCTCTATATGGCACTCAAGAAGGCCCTGTTCAACCCTAGAGTCTGGTTCAAAGGAATCCTGATCCCACTGTGGGAGTCCAGCACGTGTACCCTCATAGAAGCCATGATCATGTGTAGTATCATCACCCAGTATTCCATCCCTGTGTTACACTCCAGTGTGGCCATGCTGAAGATTGCAGAGATAGAATACAGCAGTGCCAACAGCATCTCCCTGCACCTGCTGCTGGATAAGAAGTCTGCACTGCTCTACCAGGTGCTGGACACACTGGTCTTCCACAGCCTGAGCTTCTGGATGGAGAAGAAGCAGCTGCCAGTGCTTTGTCATCAGTGCCTCCTGACGTTGACATATCACTACAAGGCTGACTTATCCAAAAATCAAAAGGCCCTGTTTGAACTGTTTCAGCTGCAGCCCCACCCACAGCTGTCCCCTGAAATTAGTTATGAGCTTCAAAACATGGCCCCTGGAGATATGGAAGATGTTCCCCATCACCATGGAATTAGAGAAGTCACCTGTTTTGGTCCAAAAGCTATGGGAGGATACCAAAATACGTAAGATACAAAGATGCCTGAAGACTTACACCAGGGCACTAAGAGGTCATTGGGGCATCTGTGATTTCAGTCCTAGGCAGGGAGAACTGAGCCTGTCTTGTTCACTCTTCCACTCTTCCACTTAAGGCCTTGGTCCCAGCTCACTTCTGGAAGCTAACTGGAGTTTCCCGACTCCAGAATTCCAGCTGGCACTTGGTATGAAGGTTCTCTCTCTCTGTCTCTGTCTCTCTCTCTGTCTCTCTCTGTCTCTCTGTCTCTCTGTCTCTGTCTCTCTCTCTCTCTCTTTATGTATATATATTCGGGGATGTGGATAAAAACAAAACAGATATTTGCTGAATTTCAAAAAAAAATCAAGTAGCTATAAACCCAGGTAAGGTGATACCTCCAGCAGTATTTTTATTGTTCAGGATTGTTTTGGCTATCTGAGATATTTGTGATTCTTTATGAATTTTAGGGTTTTTGAAAATTTCTGTGAAGACTTGAATTGGAATTTTGATGAGATTATATTGAATACATAGAATGCTTTTTGTAGGATGGCCATTTTAACAATATTAATACTACCAATCCATGAGCATCAGAGGTCTCTCCATCGCCTGATATTTTGTTCAATTTTTTTCTTCAGTGCCTTAAAGTTTTGTTTGTACAAGTCTTTCACTTCCTTGGTTAGATTAAGCCCAAGATATAATTTTAAGGCTATTGTGAATGGGATTGTTCCCTGATTTCTTTCTTGGTATGTTTCTTATTGATATATAGGAAGGCTATTGATTTTTTTGTGTTAATTTCTTTGTGATGATGACAACTCATTTATATTTAATTTCTATGTTCTTTTTTTTTGGTCTTTTTGAGACAGGGTCTCCCTGTAGCCCCAGCTGTCCTGGAACTCACTATGTAGACCAGGTTGGCCTTGAACTCACAGAGATCCACCTGCCTCTGTCTTCTGAGTGCTGGGATTAAAGGCATGTGCCACCACGCCCAGCCTCTATGTTCTTTTTTATTGAATTTTATCAAATGTTATACAATGTATTTTGATCATATTTAGATCCCCTACCCTTGTCCAATGTCATGTACTCTATTGTACAGAGAGTCAAATTTGTGTCCCCAGATGTCCTTCAGTGTGGGTCCATCAACTGGAGCCTGGTTAACCTACAAAGTGTCACAGTCTTAAAAGAGACTGACTACCCTTCCCAGTAGCCATTGGTTTCCAGCAGTTCCTCAGGTAGGATTAGAGTTTCTTACCTACTTCCCCACATCTACTCTGGGATTTTGACTGTCTTGAATTTATGTGGTACTTGTGCATACTGCCACCATTGCGGTGAGTTCATACAAGTAACTGACAAACTCTCTGGAAAACTGTTTTGTTGTAGTCATTCACCACATATGGCTCTTACAGTCTTTCTACATCTTTTGCAATGATCCTTGTGTCTTTGAGGCAGAAGTTTGATATAAAGGTGTCCAATTCATTGATAATCACACTACAGTTTCTTATTCTGTGGATGTTGGTCAGTTGTGGGTTTCTGTGTTAATCACCATGTGCTGTATAAGGAAGTGTATCTGGTGAGAGTTGAGAGATGCATTAATCTATGGGTATAATAATATGTCATTAGAAGTCCCCTAAATACTATATCTAATGCCTGTGACCTGTCTAGCCACAGGTTTCTAGACCTGATATAAATGTCCTGTATGGACTGTGTCTTGTGAAGAAGACCTTAAATCCAATTAGAAAGTGATTGGTTACTCCCATAATATTCTCACCACTATTGCAGCAGAGGTCATATCTTTCCAAGTCAGTTGTTGTTGAAGCACACACAGCTGAGTAAGGTTAATTATAGTTTTGTTCTTCTGGTAGCATGAATAGCATCTTCAGCATGGTGAAAGATAGCCAGTAGAGATAATGCTTTGGGCCGGGCATGGTGGTACTTGACTTTAATCTCAGCACTTGGGAGGCAGGGGCAGGCTGATCTCTGAGTTTGAGACCAGCCTAGTCTACATAGAGAGTTCCAGGCCAGCTGGGGTTACAGGGAGACCATTTCTCAAAAAGAGAGAGAGAGAGAGAGAGAGAGAGAGAGAGAGAGAGAGAGACCTTTGAAGTCAGTACCAGCTACAGAGAGAGAGAGAGAGCGAGAGAGAAGGAAAGAGTGCTTCGAGGTAAGTACCAGCTTGATTGCTCCTTGTTTTATTTTTTGTTTTTTGGGGGTGGGGGTGGTCTTTTTGAGACAGGGTCTCCCTGTAACCCCAACTGGCCTGGAACTTGATATGTAACCCAGGCTGGCCTTGAACTCACAGAGATCTGCCTGCCTCTGCCTCCTGAGTGCTGGGACTAGAGGTGTGCGCACCACGCCAGACGATTGCTCCTTGTTTTGTATGTTAATTTTATAATTTGATACTTTGCTTTAGATTTATGGGGTATGGAGAACCTTTAGGGTCTTTCATGTCTAGAATCATATCATCTTCAAATAAGGAAACTGACTTCTTCCTTTTCTATTTGCATCCCCTTTATGTCCTTCTGTCTTATCACTCTAGATAGGACTTCATGCACTATATTAAATAGTAGTGGAGAAAATGGACACCCTTTTCTTATTCCTGATCTCAGTGGGTATGATTTGAATTTTTCTATATTTAACATGATGGTGACTTTGGGGTTGTCATAGCTATCCTTTATTATGTTGAGATATGTCCCCTGTATCCTTAGATTCTCCAGGACTGTTATCATGAAGAAATTTTGGATTTTGTCAAAGGTCTTTTCTGTATCAATTGAAATGACCATGTGATTTCTGTCCTTAAGTCGATTTATGTGATGAATTATGCTTATTGAAATACATAAGTTGAAACATCCCTGCATCCTTGGAATGAAGCCAATTTGATCATGGTGAATTGTTTTTTTTTATGTATTCCTGAATATAGTTTGATAAGTATTTTATTGAGAAATGTTGCATCTATATTTATTAGGAAGATTGGCCTATAATTCTCTTTGTTGTTGATGCTGAAGCTGTTGAATTTGGGTAATACAGGCTTTGTAAAAAGAGTTTAGAAATATTGCTTCCTTTTTACAGAATAATTTCCTTGAAGGTGTGGTAGAATTTTGTGCTGAATCTCTCTGGCCCCAGGCTTCTTTTAGTTGAACGATTTCATTTTAATTTTGTATGTATGTGTTTGAGTGCATATCATACATGAGTGTAGTCTTTGCATTATTTCAATTACTTTTAGTCTTCCTCCAACTCCTTCCATGTTCCCACACTCTTGCTTGAGAGAGATTTTTTTTTCAGGATTTCATTCTTTTTTTTTCCTTTTTATTCCAAAGGGAAGCAATTATTAACACATTTTTCCAGAAATAACTTGAAGAAGGTTACATAAAATATATATACAATGAACTTTAAGGGGGGAAAATAGGAACAAGAAATCAAAGACCAAAGGATTTGCCAACATGGGGTCAACTTTGGTGGAACAATGAAGGTTTCCATTAGCTAACTCTGTTCCTTTCTTTTTTTTTTGAAAATCCTAACTAGGTAACAAGAGCATAGGGTGGGAGTTTATTTACGGAAGAGTGGGCTCCCCGCTCAACCATTTACAGCTGTGCTGCAAAGTTCACACTCAAATATAGATCCTGTGACTTCCGGACAGCCACACAAAATGGCGAGAGAGGTGCCTCATGGTGTTCTCGGCTTATATATCCTTAGTCCCCCATACACACATGTAACTAAGGTCCACTGATTAGGGGGAGGGTAACTGACTCCCCCATCAACTCCTTGATGAGGTGGGAAGGAGGTGTGACTATAGCTTGCTGGCATAGTGGTCGGAGGACACTTCCAGTTAATTGCACCCCTTTCTCCAGCTCTTACATTCTTTCCACCAACCTCTTCAGCAAAAGTCCCTGAGCCTTGGAGAGGGTGATAGGTATGGAATGATCTTCCTCCCATTGTGGCACGGCACTGAACTTTTGGGTCTCTGCATCATCTGCTCTCCATGAGCTGTTGGCTTTCAAAGTGTCAGAAGGCGATGTGTAGATGACTGGGAGAGAACTATCCACTGTAATTCTGCTCAGTGATGGACCCTGCATGCTGCACTATCAACATGCCAAAAAAGATATTTTATTTGGTACAATAGTGGCATGTCTAGTGTATGTACAACCAGCAAATTTTCGATTGGATCTATTGCCCACTCCTAGAGGTGGAACACACATCTGGTACTGTAGACCAGGCCAACCCCCTCTGGCAGGGGAGGATATAGGCCCCTGTGAGGAGACTACTGCAATTGTTTTGTTAGATGAATGTGATGCATCTACTAAAGTGCATCACAGTCCAAGCATTTATGTTTACACCCATAGGTTAAGTTATTATAGCAGCAACAGTTTAGATGTTCTTCCTTCTTGCTGTTTGTGTTTTTATAGGAGATTTTAAAAATATTATGTGTGTGTCTTGCCTGCATGTATATTTGTACACCCATGTCATGCAGCACTCATAAGGACAGAAGAGGGCAGTGCATCCCCTGGAACTGGAGTTACTGACAGTTGTTAGCCACTGTGGGTGCTGAGACCCTAACCTGGGTCCTCTACAAGAGTAGCCAGTGCTCTTAATCACTGACCCATCTTTCCAGCCCCTCAGAAGCGTTTTGGGTTCTTTTTATTCAATTTTTTAAAATAGGTTTCAAATCACTTCATCTCAAAACATCATTAATTTGTCAACTGCTCAAAGATATGTTAGAGAAAGGTAATATGCATCAAAATCTTTTGCTGTATATGTAGAATTCTACAATAAATGGATGGTCTAAAACATTTTGCAAATAATTCCAAATTATACAATGTTTGCAGAGTACTTAACTGAGACATTTCACAAAAATAAATGCTGCATTTTGATTAGAACTTACACTATTCAAATCATTTTATGAACAGTAAAATAGTGCTAAAAGCTATTTTATTAATAGCTAGTTTGAAAGAACCATTATTAATTTTGGAGCACTGAATTTATGTTAGATAATTTTATTTTAATATCAATTAAAATTTCCTCTCAT